TGGGCTACGTGGGCCGCAGCCCCAAGGATCGTGCCGAAGAAGGAAGTCGGCGACTTGCGCATGACGATCGACAGCAGGCCGATCAATGCCTGCACGGAGCCGATGCCTTGGCCGATGCCAAACCTGGACAGCGCGATGGTCTGTCTGGTCGGAACGAACGTGTGCTTCACGTTGGACTGGACCAAGGGGTACTGGCAGTTGCCGCTGCATGCGGACAGCCAGATGTACTTCTCGTTCATGACGCCCTTCGGCGTGTATACCCCGACCCGCGTGCTCATGGGACAGACGGACGCTGTCGCGTACTGCCAGTCGGTTGTTCACCAAATGTTTGGTGAGCTGATGTTTCGAGGCCTGTTGGCCTGGCTCGATGACTTGCTGGGGTCCGCCAAGACGACGGACGAGCTGCTCGACTTGCTGGACCAAGTCCTGTCCATCTGTGCCCAGTTCGGACTCAAGTTGAGCCCGAAGAAGTGTCATTTCTTTCTGCGCGAGACAGAATGGTGTGGCAAGGTGATTTCGGCCGATGGAATCACCAATTCCCCATCCCGAATTCAAGGACTCGTGGATTTGTCGCCGCCGACGACCGCGGCCGACCTCCAGCAGTTTGTGTGTGCCACCAACTGGATGCGTGCGAGCATCCCCGGCTACAACCAGCTGGTGGATCCGTTGCGACGTCTGCTCGACGTGGCCACCAAGGCAGCCGGAAGCTGCAAGAAAACGGCGTTAGTGCGTGTTGCACTCCCTGTCGTGGGATGGTCGTCCGACCATCTCAAGTGTTTCAACGATATGAAACACGCGTTGGCGCATGTGGTGCCCCTGTCGCACCCGCGAGAAGACATGACGGTCTGCGTCTTCACGGATGCCAGTGACCTGTTTTGGGGTGCGATCGCCACACAAGTACCGCCAGCGGACCTCGAGTTGCCTCTCGAAGACCAGCGGCACGCTTGCGTTCATCAGTGGATCATTTTCTGGCGCAAGTGCGCGCTGGCCCATTGTCGGAAGAAGGACGCCTATGCCGTGGTCGAGTCGTGCAAGAGACTCGACTACCTGGTCGTACGCCCGGGTGGTTTCCGTCTGTTTACGGATCACCGCAACCTGGTGTACATCTTCAACCCAAGTGGCTCGAACGCCAACATGGCCAAGTACCAGGCCGACAAGCTGCAGCGATGGTCGCTGGTGATTTCGACCTTCTCGTACACCATTGAGTGCGTCTCGGGTGACGCGAACGTATGGGGCGACCTCCTGAGCCGATGGGGTTCGGCTCCGGCGGATCAACCAGTTGCGAATGTTCGCAAGTTGATCCATGTGGTGTCGCCCCTGCAACAAGTGGATTTCGAGTGGCCGACAGCCGCGACGATCAGCGGCATCCAACGTTCTACCATGGAAGCGGGAGAGACCCCTCCAAACGGCGTGGATTGGGACGACGACTCCCGTGGACCCAGACGGACGAATCTGAATCCCAGACGGTGCTGTCAACCTACAGCAGCGGATTTGTGTGATCGCTCACCAAGGAGCCAGCAGTCACCGTAGCATCGCAGCGACGACCAAGTCGGTGTCCGACAAGTTTGTGTGGAAGACGCTTTGCACGGACGTCGAAGCGTTCGTGCGTGCCTGTTTGCACTGCCTGTGCATTGACGGAGAAATGGTTCCCCGTCCATTGGGTTCGGCGCTTCACGCAGAGAAGCCAAACGAGCTCATCCATTTCGACTGGTTGTCGATGCCCATGGCCAAGTCTGGCCAAAAACAAGTGCTTGTCGTGAAGAACGACATGAGTGGCTTTGTGCAGCTGTTCGCGGCAGAGTCCGCTGACGCCGCCGCGACCGCTCAGTGCCTGATGACGTGGTTTACCACGTTCGGCTGCGTTGACACATGGGTGTCAGATGGCGGTTCTCACTTCAAGAACGAAGTGATCGAGAAGGTGCGGAAGTTGGTGGGTGCCCACCATCATATCACGACAGCCTACAGTCCTTGTAGTCAACCGACTAGTGCTGCGCGCCGTGAAGGCGCTGCTCAGCGAAACGAAGCTGAATGCGGACGAATGGCCGTATGTGTTGCCCCGGAGGAATTGCGCCTGTGACAGCGTTTACCGGCCTGCCAGCCAAGACCCCGCTGGCAGGATTTGTCCACCCGACGTCCAAGGAAGGTTACGTCGCGGACTGGCTTGGCGCCGCACGTCCAGTGACCCATTGCAAACACACACACTCTGTGTGCATGCCATGTCAAAGGTTCCGATTTCTTAGTGGATGTACTGAGTACTTTAGTGAATGGTAGTCAGTAGGCGCCTTTGGGCGTGTTTAACCTCACTAATGTCAGTGTGTATATTTGCTGCCTTCACGAAGGTCCCGTGGCCGAAAGCCGAGAAGAAGCGGGGGACAAAACAGCCCCCCGTCCACCCGTCGGAACTTGGCGGGTCGTTTGATGTGGGCATGCGTGGGTTGGTGCGTGGAGAGAAGCGTCATCGGCAGTGGCGACGGCATCGCGACTTCTGTACGAACTGAACAGACGTCCCTGCGATGATTGTGTTTGATACGTTGTCTCATATACGATATATTTCGACTTTGCCATCCTTCGAGATGACGCCAGTAACACGCGTATCCGAACAAGCTACTCGGATTACTTGGTACCGAAGTGCAAACTCGAACTCACGATAGTTATGCATTGCACTGGAACAGCCGTTTGAACCTCAATTTACGAACAACCCGACCTAAACGACGAGCTAGAGTTTTTTATATCAGTACATTTTGTACATATTGTTAGTATTTCACTGTCAATCAATGTCGTATATTTAAAATTTAAAACTCGAACAGTGACAACGGCACTCGGGGGCTTGACCTCAACAGCTTAGTCACGGACACCCGAAGTCACGCCTTCCTTCTTGGAAGCGTAGCCGAGTTTGCCCTTAAGGTAGCAATGACCTTCGTAGTGCGAGTAACCCACGCAGTTCTCAGCCTTCGGGGTTTCGGGAAACCCCGAAACCCCGAAACCCCGAGGACTGCTGCCAGCAGTCCTCCTTGTCGGCAGAGATACGGGCGATGTCGTTACCGTTGTAGTCCACGTTGTCTTGGGCAGCTTTGCAAGAACCAGCAGGCTTGAAGACCTTGGCAGGCTTAGTAACCTTGCCAGCCTTTGCGCCCCACTTAAGAATAGACTTGCCAGCCTTCGACTTCAAGAAGCACGTGCCGCTGTTCCAATTGGTCCATACGTACAATACGCAGTCAGGGGTCTTGGCACAGTCGTTGCAGCAATCATCGCTGTAGGAACGTTGGGTGGACGTGATGTCGTTGCCGTCGTAATCCACGCCATCTACAGGCTTGTCACACGCGCTAGGGGCAGCCTTGGTGATGGTAGGGGCAGCTGAGGTGGTGATAGGTGCAGCCGCAGTGGTGGTAGGCTTGGGGGTGATGTTGGGAGGGCAAGGATTTATGGTTTCGGCAGTCGTCGTAGGGGTGTCAGCGGGCTTGGCGGTGATGTTGGGGGACTCGGTGGACGTTTGTTGGATCGATCGAAGCACGCTGGGCCATATTTTATCCTGGGCAGCCGTGGCCACGGCCACGATAGACAAGACGAAAGCGGTTTTCATGGTCGAGTCAATTCAAGAATGAGAGAAACGAGTCGCAAAATGGCAGAGGTGGCAAGGTAGCAGCAGCCAACACCATGAGGTTACACATTGATTTGGGTCAAAACCGGGTCAGTGCAACTATTGGCTTGTTAGTTTATATAACTCACTTTCAATCGCCGCCGGCGTAAGCCGATCCAAAGCCGCGATCGATCGTATTATCATAGCCAATCGTTTTTCGGCCGCTGTCGTATCTGGCTTTTCTTCCAGCCACAATGTACGCATCAATTTCTTGAATAGTTCCATTACGCCAACGTCCAGAGGCTGGCACACATTTGTACAATTCAGAGGTAGGGGCTTCAAGATACAGCAATAGCTTCGGCAGAATGCTGCGTCACATGCGCATCGAAATTGTCCGCCATAATGACACTTGGCCCGACAATATGGCGGCAGAATCTCCAAGTACGCGTCCCATACCCGTCCGTCCATCCAAGCTGACTATTGAACCATATCTTTCTCGGTGGCATTTCGTGTACACAGCCGTTTCATCCACGTTGATGATGTCGTGGAGGTCTTACTTGTGGTAGTGCCCCAAAACCTGAGCTGCAAACTCGTTACGCAACAGTACCATCTCAACGGCCGAACTATTCGTGAAACACGGGACCCGCTGCGAGAAGCGGTGACGCCTGGCTAAGTCTTGGCACAGCTTGAGAAGTGATTTGTAGCCGTCGCGCTTACCACTCGTGTAGCCAGCAAGCCACTTGGCATGGCACGTTTTCATGAACATAATCATGTGTACGGAGGTGAGGATGTGCTCTTGACGTCGAACGTCTTTCATAAATCCCAGCAGCTTGTTATTGAATGGAATGGCACCCTTCGTCCCTTGACCGCCAAGGGTCTTTCGCTTGCCGTTCCGAGGATTGGCCACCAGCTGAAGTCGGTACTTCAACCAGCTGATCCATGTGGTGCGCGCTATTCCTTGGAGTTTGCAGAACTTGCTTCTTAGACAAAGCTCGTCAAACGAAGCCAGCAGCTTCCGCTTCTCGTCGATGGAGTAGGAGCTTTGACTTCTCGGTGGCATGTTGGCTGGGCAAGAAGGCAAATGACAACAAAGTCTTTTGCCTCAGAGAGTTTGAATTTTCATTTTTGAATGCACAAATCACATGAAGGGAAGACGAAGTCACTTGATTCGCTAAAATTACTGACATATATTAATTTATACAGAACACTCAATTTATAAAACCCATCCAAACAATGAGGTGTTCGGATTTTTTGCCAGTGTCGGCTTTTTCCGGGGTTCACTGTACTGAGTCCCTATAGTGCATAGTGTTCGATGGCTATTGTTCTATAACGTCGCGCATAATGTACAAATCCACACTCACCATTACCAGTGATGATTTGTGATGTACAGGAAGTTCTCGCTTACAGTTAACTCCGCACAGCTAGCATAGGGTTGGAATGACAAGTGCGGAGTTAGTAGTTACATTTTACAATAAAAATACCAAAAATCTAAACTACTCTTCTCATTAAAGTAGCTTTTTAAGCTCGCGTTTGTAAGGGTCAAAAAGTGCCTTTTGCTTTTAACTATGGTGAAATTTCAAATGACGTCGTTTTTAAAATGAAATCTGATTAGCTTGATGCGAAGTTTTCTACGTTTGGCCCAGATTCCAATACTTACACCTTTCAAATGCCCTTGGACATTTTGGATCAGAAATCGCCGAATTTAATGACGTGTTTTCAAAAATAACGACCAAGGAGTCAAGGTTGTCATGTATGAAGGAAAAGGGTTAATATACAATATTTCACCAAACGGCGACGAGGTTGTGGAAGTGACGCAGTCATTGTGTCATTTCCAATACGAATATCAAGTCATTTGGTCGTGTAGGAGGAACGGCATTCCCACTTAATTGCTATACTGAATCCAAGTAGAAATGTCCACTGGCCTGCCATGTGTTTGTTTCGAAACGCTTCTTTCACTCACCAGTACTGTACACATATATGTAACCCGATATATTTCGTCCAGAGCAGTCAGAAAACTCAGTTTTCAACAGGAAAACACAATAGCTAAGACGCAACTATTCTATTCGGTTAAATATTGTTGTTGTGACATGTGATCGATGGAATACGAAATTCTCTATCATCTTGATATCTCACCTATTACAATTCACTAACCAGCCATATTATGTCCCGTGTAGTCAGTCAGATAACACTACTTTCAATACGCAAACACAAAGGCAATGACACAACTATCCCATTGGTTATATGTTGGTGTATAATTAGACTGTTGTGGCCCCACAATTCTGGCATGGCGTCATTCGAGAATTGTGTTGGAGGATGCAAGGTACGTTCATGCATGTTCTTCTCGGTGTTCATGTCCATGCTCTGCTCTATGTTTACGTCCATGCATGTTCTTCTCGGTGTTAGGATAAATAGCAATCTGAGTGGGTCCAAAGTGACGGACTTACGAAATGCACTGCAGCACACACGGGGAGGCTTTGCAAACCGTGCCTACCCCGACAATAAGTTGCTCCCTGCGGTTTCCTTAGCACTCACTACTCAAGCAGTGCACTGTAGTTTTTACTGCGTACTTCCTCTGTTCCTCCAGGTTACTGCCGACATTACTTTGAATTGACACAGGCAATCGAGCCCTCACTCAATTTGGTGAATGATACTGTGTTTGAAAGGGAATTGCATGAATTTTAGCAAAAGATTAGTTTATTAATAAAATGAGCGCTTAAAAGCAATTGTAAACCAATGAAATATCATAAATATTGGATATCGAGAGAAATCAAACAATTATAGCCAATGAAATGCAATGTGTACGCCAGTTATTTGGAACATGCGAATTTTGAAATTTCGGCAGTACAGTAACAGTACGGCCAAGCCAGCGAGCGTAAACTTGAATGTGATGGAAGATACCACGATGGAGCCGAATGGCATAGCCCAATCAGGAGCGACTATGGAACACATCAAAGTGTCGGTCAAAGGAAAGGCCAAGAACAAGTCGACAAAGGAGAATGCGTTGAAAGCACCACCCCGGATCACCGCGACAGCAATTGCAGAACACTACCGCAGACGGTATACAAAGTCTGCCCGATGCGGGGAGCGTAGCCCAGCTCGAGTTGTTGCAACGAATCAAGTTTGCTTATCCAAGCGATTCGGATGACGAAACCAAGGATGACCTCGGTGTGGCCAACCAGCTTATCCAGACCTACATTTCTATGTATGGGATGGGTGGGGTTGAAACGTATTCTCGCCGTTCCGTACCACAAGCGCAACCCACGGCGGATATGGTGTTGCATCAAACACCAAAGCGTTTGGCCTCGGGGCCGGAGTCCAGGACTAGGTCGGCTAAACGTCCGAAAACGCAGTGGATGAGCAACGCAACGTATCGTGGAGAAGACAAGGAAACCGTTTTGAATCGTCAACGCTACCGTCGGGATCAACTTCGCATTGCGAAAGCAAAGTTGGCCGCCTCTGCTGCGAAGAAGAAGGAGTACCGGCAAACCAAGCGCGTGAAGAAATCTCAAACTCACCCCCAGCTGATGAACGACCGTTGGTGGAAGACTTCTTGATCGAGTTTGTTCCCGTTCAGCCACCGATCATACCAGAAGGCCCTGCGATGAGCCGTGAAGAGATGGCTGCTTTGGACGTTGAGCTCAACCCGCGTCCATTTCAGCCATTGGACGATTCGGAGGCACTACAAATGAAATTGATTTCGTCGAGGGAGTGCTCGATGACATCAATCTTCATCTGACGCTAGAGCCGTATCCGTTTTCAACCACTGGAAGAATCTACGGCCATTCATCGGGAGGTTCAATTCATCGAGGAGGCCCTCCACGACATCGACCTTGGCGAAGATCCACCGTTCCTTCCTCAAGATCCCGTCGAAGATGCGATTCAAGTACGGCCTCCATGCCGAAACCCTGTGAATTACGTCGGACGGCAATCGTACGAAGTGTTTGAGGAAGGTGGCCACACGCGGCTGCATGTTCCTGGGAAAATGAAGACGTGCCCGCACTGCCGGGCAAAGTTGACACCCCGCGACTGCAAGAACCTGCCCTGTTGTTTGAAGGGAAAGGTGAAGATGGATCCTTACGTTTTCCCCGACTCGCCAGAAATACAAGCGATCAAAGATCTCTTCACAAACAGCGCAACTTCATCGAGCACATCCGTCAGTACAACGCTCAGTTCAACGTCACTTCCATTGGAACCAACGAGGTCAAGCACAGCGGCAGCGGCCCCAAGACGTATTGTATTCAAGGCCAGCTGACCCACAACATTGGTCTGTTGCAACCCAGCCTGAACAGAAGTGGAAACCTGCGACAACCAAGTTTTGCCAAAATCTACGTGCACACCAGCGAGGAGCAACTTCAACACCGACGAAACATGTTTCCGGCGTTCACTTCGCGGTACAATGCCACGATACAGCGAGTGATGGATCTCCACCACCCATTGGCGATGACGTATGCAACTGCCAAAGAACGTTTGCGTCGAGCGGAAGCGGACGGGACATCGGGGGGCAATCTTCAAATTGTCCTGAAAGCTGTTGGTGGCGCGCAGGCTCGAACACACAACTTGCCCACCGTGGCTCAGCTTGCGGTTATCATGGAGGGAGACGGCAGCGAACCGACAGAAGGTCGTCACGTGGTTCTGCAAAGTCTGAACTCGAACCGGTTCACAACCATTCGAGAAACGAATCCATTTCACGACGCGTTGCAGTTTCCCCTCCTGTTTCCAATGGGAGGTCCTGGATGGGAGTATACCATGACGAAGACCGACGGGAAATCATTGTTTCTCCGTGCGTTCCTCAACTATTGGCTTCAAGAACGAGACGGCGACGACTTCTCCGACATGCTGCACCGATCCTCCATGCTGTTCAAGATGTACACTACGGTCGGCTTCGTTCGCGTGGAAACCAACAGGCTGTGCTACACTTCGCAGAACGGAGACAAATTGCGATTCGATTTGTACGCAAGCGTATAGGAGGCCGCCGAGAGACGTTCAGGGCTCCACAACGTCGGCATCAAGTCCATCGTGCCTTCAAGCTTTACTGGCGGCAAGCGTTACATGAAGAAATGCTACTTCAACGCCATGGCAATTGTGCGCAAGTACGGGAAGCCATGTCTCTTCGTCACCATGATGTGCAACCCCAATTGGCCGTAGATCATCAGTCAACTCAAGCCCCATCAAACGTGAGCTGAACGCGATGACATTGTCACATGTGTGTTCGAGTCGAAGCTAACGTATTTCGAGGACGACATCCACAAGAAACACGTCCTTGGCAAGGTTGTCGCATCCGTGCGTGCGTGTTGAAGAGTTTCAAAAGCGTGGCTTGCCGCATGTGCACATGCTCCTCATCATGGAAGGACAAGACAAGTTCAGCACCGTCGATGACATCAACTCTGTGGTATCCGCGCGCATCCCAGACGAGATCAAGAACCCCCAGCTACACGAGTCAGTGAAGAACTTCATGACCCATACGTGCACGCATGTGCAATACGACAACAATGGACAGCCGATTCCAAGTGCGAGGGCTTGCACCGACAAGACTGGCAAGTGCAAGAAAGGCTTTCCGCGGCCCCTTCAAGCTACCACAACCGAGGGGGTTGATGGGTATGCCAAGTACCGTCGCGACACGGCCGCAGACCAGTACTGTGTGCCACACAACCCCTACTTGGTGCACAAGTACAACTGCCACATCAACGTCGAGGTTTGCACAAGCATCAATGCCGTGAAGTATCTGTACAAGTACGTGTACTGTACTGTACAAGGGCAGCGATCGGATCACGTACGCTGTCTTCACCGACCGGGAACGCCAGCCCATGCTTGACGAAGCACGGGAGTACGTTGAAGGACGCTACGTGAGCTCCCTCGAAGCTATCACACGCATCCGCTGCTAGGATGTCCCACGCTGTCGAAGTATTGCCCGTGCACGAGAAAGATCAACAGCATTGCACCTACGACGAAACCCACGACGCAGAATCGGTCGTTGCCCGGAACCAAAAGACCAAATTGATATCCTTCTTCCTCGCTTGCGCGCAAGGCTTGACCGGGATCGACGGCGTTCCTGCAAAGAAC